TGACCAACAGATCAAAAAGCCAGAGGGATCCCACCTGGAGCGACTGCATGTACTACAGCATAAAGCAGTAGAACTGTATCACTGTTTCATTTGCTTTCGAGTAAGACAGGAATTCTTTTTTTCTTTTTTGATTGTGTTCAATGTAGAAATAATATGAAATAAATCAGTTTTTATCGCTTCTTTTTGGCCTGCAGCTGAAATATATATCTTTCCTTTTATAATATGATTTAGGACATGAAAATGCAGATTAAAATATCCATAATGCATGCTTAGAATGTGTTTTGTCTGTAGGGTCTCAAGCAGGTCATGTCTGCTATGATGTTGTTTTTATTCATTAAATGACCTGATGCAGAAGAAGTAATCACTCGTCCTTACTGAGGGTGAAGATTGTCTCTGACTTCATGTGTTTTAGCCTCATTGTCGCTCAACAGAATCCTGTGTGTGTTTTTGCATTTGAGCTTTAAGTCGCTGATGATCAATAAACATAATTCAAAGTATTAAGCTGGAGACTATGTGATTATTCAATCCAGTGTGCTCCTCCTCATTCATGAGAGGTTGATGCTATTGAGTCTATCTGTGAATGTGGTTGACCTCACCCACTGAGTGATGAGACAATAACACAGTAAGTTTTGTTCTGCTGACCTAAAGACACCAGGGTTAGGGTTAGGGTCAGGGACCTACTAGTTTAGAAAACTACTGTTTGGGTGAAAATGAGGTTTGCTTACTTTACTAATGATTATGCATCTTGTAGCACTTAATAATGTATTAAATTACTGAAAATGTAATCAAATTTACACTTAACTCAATCACCTAATATTGTAAAAAAAAATTTAGGGTTGTTTTTTTTGTTTTTTTGTTTTTGCTTTTTTTTTTTTAAATGCCCTGACTGATATAGTAATTACATTTTTACCGGTAATACCTTTCAGGTGTTTCCTTCTTAAAACTGCGAATGAAATACATTGGATTAAAAAAAATGTACTACATTTCTCATTTCCATGTTATGTCAAAGTGTTTTTTATACAAATTTTGTGTACACCGGTTTAGAATGAAAGAATGACGATGAGGTTAAAGTGCACTTTGAGCACAATGCAGGCAGAAACTGAGGAACATGCACCAGCATCCTGGTCTTATTGAGTAGATAGTGGACTAAATCAGTCGCACACCACCATCTAAGTATCCACAATTCCACAGGTCCTATTGATCTACAGCGGCTGTGGCTCAGATGGTAGAGCGGGTTGTCCACT